GTAATTTCAAAATCACACAAGGTCCCCAGATAATACTAATCCCGTGCGAATAGGGCATTTTTTTCCTTGTAGCTGGAAATCAGCTCACAGACAATTTGCAGGCTATATCATTTTTTTTTTAATAATTCCAGTCTTGCTCAAGAACTCCGGTCTGACACACGCGGGTTCTCTCGTTATTTCCTTATAAATTCTCGCCAGTGTTTTGTTGTAAACCGTAGTTTGCCAGACAGAGTTGTCTGCAATTCTTCCTATTGTAAAGTCACGCAGTGTGTAACCTCCTGTCCCAGATCCATCATGCAATGTGAACACAGTAGCGACTGACTGCTACCTCAGATAGTTGTGCAGTGTGAAAACGATGGTGACCCAACGACTTTGAAAATCATGCAGTGTGAACTCTGCATTAGCCTGCTCCGGACCAGGTTAGTTTCCCAGCATAAGTTGCCAGAGTGACTGAGCTGGAGCTATGGTAATTTTGCTTTATGAAACCAAATCAAGTGACAATAAGTCAGAATAACTGAAATAAGCCTGGCTTATTTGGTAAAACACATTTATTAGAATATTAATGTGCATGTAATTAAGTTTGGTTTTGGCAGTGTATTAACTATGTGTGCCTCGGCTACCTTGCCGACCGGCTTACTCTAGTGTCCTAAAGAAAATGTGTGCCTTGGCTACCGTGCCGTCCGGCTTACTCTAGTGAACAATAATTGTATGTGCCGGGCTACAATGCCGTATGGCTTAATCTAGTGACTTACCAAAATGTGAGCCTTGGCTACCCTGCCGACTGGCTTAATCTAAGAAGAGGTATATTTTTCATCTGTAAATGTTAGAAAGTCATGCAAATATATCCATTTTGCTGTCAGGAGTGGGCGAGGCTTATGCGAGTGAACGAGCGCTGCTGCGCGCATGCATGCTTAACAGATGGAACACAATAGAATAATTGCGCAATAATTCTGAATAAAATATGCATTCTGCTAAAATATTTGTTGTTGGACATTAAATGTGACA